ATGCAAGCCAAACCCCCTTAGCAAGTACTAACGGTTTTCGAAGCATGGATTTCGGTGAACGATTCTAAACCAAGGTGCTATGCTGAGGTTTTTGTTATAGAAGGGGCCAACAAATCCCTATTGAGCAAAACCACCGCGGAATACCTCAAAATTCTTCAAGTAGGCCTCGGTGTTAACAATATCGAAGTTGGAATCGAACAATTTCCCAAGTTTCCTAATGTTCAAGTCAAACTGTCAATTGACCAGTCTGTTGTACCACGAAAGCTTGCTTATTTGAGGGTACCTGAACCAATGAAAGATAAAATCGATCAGAAAATTTTGGAGATGTTACGCACTGATGTGATCGAGCTAGCGGATGGTCCAGCAGATTGGATCACGCCGATGGTTGTTGTACCTAAGGGTAAGGACGACATTCAGCTCTGTATCAATTTGAAACATCCGAACAAAACAAATCAACGAGAACATTTCCCGCTACCGGTCATTGAAACGTTTTTGAACTAGCTTAGAGGTGCAACGCATTTTTCGAAACTCGATATAAACTCGGCATTCCATCACTTAGAGCTTCACCCGGATTCTCGTAGTATTACAACGTTTATGACGGATCGGGGCCTTATGCGATTCAAAAGGTTGATGTTTGGGATCAACTGTGCTCCTGAGATCTTCCAACGAATCATGACGCAGATGCTGGCAGGAATTGATGGGGTAATTGTCTACATTGATGACATAGTCGTGTATGGTAAAACTCAAGAGGAGCATGACGAGAGATTGCAGCAGGTTCTAGCAGTTCTCAATGAGAACAACGCTCAACTCAACAACGAAAAATGTATATTCGATGTCACGGAACTAGAGATTCTAGGTTTTAAGGTTAGCTCGAAGGAAATAAGGCCATCGGATGAAAAGGTAAAAGCCATCAGGAATATCAGAAAGCCTGAATCAAAAGAGGAAGCTAGGAGTTTCTTGGGTCTCGTTAATTTTGTTGGCCACTTCATACCGCATCTATCAACTAGAACTGAACCACTTCGGCAGTTCCTACGGGGAGATGTTTTGGTTATCGGTCAGGAACAAAACGACGCTTTCGATGATCTCCGGAAGGAATTATGAAACTACGTGCGGACATTAGGGTATTTTGATCCAAAACATGCTACAGAGCTATATGTTGATGCGTCTCCTGTCGGCCTTGGGGCAGTCCTCGTCCAGGGAGATCAAGACACTCCGAGAATTATCAGTTTTGCGTCAAAAGGATTAACGGCTACCGAGCGAGTGTATCCTCAGACCCAACGTGAGGCGTTGGCGGTGGTTTGGGCGGTCGAAAAATTTTATTTGTATTTGTTCGGTCTGCACTTCACTATTTTCACTGACCACAAAACTCTCGAATACATCTTCGGGGGCAAACACTAGGAAGGGAAACGTGCGTTTTCTCGGGCTGAAGGTTGGGCTCTTCGACTACAACCTTTCGATTTTGAGATCAAGCATATTGCAGGACCATCCAACATTTCGGATACTCTCTCGCAACTTGGTCCTCCAAAAGATTTACCATTTGACGATAATGCTGATCACTATTTATGTGCAGTTGGGGAAGGTCCTATGGCAATTACACTGGAGGAAATTCAAACTGAAACAAGCTGTGATGAAACCCTTCAGGGCGTAGTGGAAGCGTTGGCGTCGGAAAGTTGGCCAGCAGTTCTTTTTCGCTACCAAGCATTTTCAAGAGAGCTAGGAGTTACAAATGGAATAGTCATTCGGGATGAAAGAATCGTTCTTCCAAATAAATTACATTCGAGGGCATTGGAGATCGCTCACAGGGGCCACCCGGGAGTAGTAACCATGCGAAGAAAACTTCGAGAGAATGTATGGTGGCCGTGTATGGATCGGGACGTGGTTGATAGAAATCAGGAGTGTTCTGGTTGTGCAGCTGTTATAAATGAAACACCACCAGAACCTATGCACAGGAAAGCCATGCCAGAACGTGCCCGACAAGAGATCGCTATTGATTTCTTTTCAGCGAAGGAATGCACAACGTTTTTAGTGGTCGTCGATTACTACAGTAGATTTATACAAATCGTCGAAATGAAGTGTACCACAGCAGCAAAAACGATCGAGGCACTGGAAGGATTATTTGTGGAACATACGCATCCAGAAAAGATCCGCAGCGACAATGGGCCTCCGTTTTCGAGTGAAGAGTTCGCCAGTTATTGTTTGAGTAAAAATATCAAACTTGTATTTCACAACCAACCACTTGTACTGTCCAATCCTCAATCCTCTAGCTAGATGAAACTGCTACCTACAACCCCGCATTCTATTTCTCTCTCTATATCTTGGTTGCTCTCTCAAATCCTATCCAAGCTTCTGAACACTCTAATGCTAAACTCTACAGTCTTTTTTCATATTGAACTGCGAAACAGTTCGATAGCCATCCGTATAGACAATTTTCTCAGCTACAACTTTGCTCGAGATCATTTCTGTGTAAAACGAGATAGGAAAAAGTTATTAATTATTTAAGAGATTGGTAAACTTATGACATGATCAAGCAGCTGCTCTGTAGGCAACACTGTATTTTGATTTTTGTGTCCTATTCAACGCCCCAGAAACACCAATGTTGCCTGCTGAGCAGTTGATTGAGCATGATCATAAGAAATCAGCGCATTGAACCATTGATAACTTTCGATCCTTGCATTTAATCAAAAAGTGATCTTCAGCAAAGCTGTAGCTGGGAAAGTACAGTTGGAAGCTTTTGAAGCAGACCGAAATGGTGAATTATTAGATAGACATGAACAAAAATTTTGGTTTTATCATAGTAATTCCCATACCAATTTCAAATGATTTTTGCCATCTCAGTTTCTCACCAAATGGGTTCAAATTTTGAGAGGTTAGTCAGGATCCGATTTGGAATCGTTTAAGTATTGTGGAGCGAAAACTTTAAATTTTGCATCACTCTAATCACCATCAACGTTGATCGTCCCGCAGTTTTCGTACGACTTATGATTTTTAAACTTCTTCAGGTTAATCGCTGCTCGGAATCTGAATTTCTTTTCGCTCAATCCTGCTGGCATATCCTTGATTTCAGCGTAGAAGCGTTAATTACCTCTAACCTAAACATTTTGTGATTACATAAAAAAAATAAATGTTATGCATTAAAAAAACACTCGCTCACCTTTTTAGACGATGCAATGGCTTTGGAAGTCTTCGTTTCCACCATCAATGCGCCATCGAATCATTTTCGGTGTTTTGAGTGCCTTCAGGGGCTTCCATTTCTTGATAATATATTTGTATTGAGTCAAACATGCTCGTGATGTCAATAAATGGAGTCGCTTGATTTTTATACAGAATGGTTGCCAGATTTACTGTGCTTTTTTAAAACTTCTCTAATATGACAACCTGTTATATTAAGTGACTTCATGTCATGTTAGCGCAATTTTTCCGTGATTGAAAGTGTCAAATCAATTTAATCGTGATTTGTGCGTTTTTGTAGAGATGTGCAATACTCTTAGCAACGATACATGCCTTGCCGTGTTAATTAAGTTTCTTAAATAAGTATATGTTTCCTTGACCACAATATATTCTTGGTCCTCCAAATTATCGTGGAGTTCAGATTATTTGTTCTACTGGATCAACCAGGACTTGCACGATGTCGTTAGCAATGACACATGTCCAATCAGATTCATACAGCCCACGCGCATCAATATCGATTCATTTCTCTACATATATAAGTTGATTCAGGTTCTCCAAATCGCCCGAGAGTTCAGATCAAATGATTTACCACTAGATCAATCACGAAATTTCCAGGAATTTTGAGGATGTACTATTAATATTAACAGTTCAGCAACTCTATGGATTTTGCCTCAGAGCTAATTATCTGACTATATGAGATTTCTATTCTTGCTTAAATTAATGCTGTCAATTGCCTGTTCTTCTGGGCAGTGCGCGCACATCTAAAATCAGTGACTTACCAGGTCTAAGTATACCATGACAGTACAGCTCGTGAGGTAGCCAAAGTAAGTACATAATACTTCGATTTAACCTGTAATATCTCTAGAAGAGTAGCATCTAAGTAGAATACCGACGACTCCGATAAACGTTTGCCACTTATCTATCGCGTCTCTGTGCGTTTTTTTTTTTTGTATTTCTCACGTCACTTTATCAGAAGACCTAGTTAAATCTCAAAAGACAAATTCGCTTACTTCAACCAGTCCGCTTTGATCATTTTGAAGTCTTCACTATAGCGATTAACTTCAGCCGGAACTAGGCAATCTCTGTCTCTCGCGAATCCAACAGTCCAGCAGCAATGGTCCACGTGATCAGCTCGTTCATCTCGCTTGACCGTCCGAGGGGGGATGATGACGAAGGGGTCTAAATTCGATAATAATGAGCTCCTCTGCCCCCACTCACACTGACTGGTCAGCAACGACCGGACACAACGAATGCAATAAAAATAAACCATCCCCATCAAACGTCGTCTTCGCCGTCGTCGTTTATGTTTTGTATCAATCCTATTCGCGAGGCATCAGCCGGTAAGCATGATGAAAAATCTCCGATGTTTCGACTTAAATCCTCTTGGAGCACCCGTCGATACTCGAAATACGTCGCATAATTTAACGGCAATCGGCTTGTCTCGCGTTGCTCATGGAATATGGTAAATGGATATTAAAAAAAAGACCGGGCGTCTCCTTGGGACTATTTAGGATCCAACCAAATGTTCAATCTGGATAACAATGCACTGACTGTGATAAGAGCACAGCAACAGAGAGTGAACTGAGTTTTTTTTTTATTTCATGTCTCAGTTAGTTTATGATCGTAATCGGGACGATGATGGAACGAATCGCTGTCCGGATTCGACCGGGTCAGTAAGTGGCGTGCTCTTGTCTGTTGAAGACGACGACTGTAAATCATGCTCAAAGCAGTGCGTCGAAACGGAACCGTTCCCCACGTTACTTACAGCAATGGGTCAGTTTGTCTAATTTGAAATCTAACATTTGCTTCAATTTTCCAATCCTCAATTTCAGGGACATTGACCTTCCCCTGCAACAGCTTATGCCATCGCCGTCGGTGCCGCAGAATGCCATCGTCTCACCGGAATCATTCAGCAACCACACATCACCGGGACAGTCTTCACAGCATCTGGCAATGGCCGAAACTCCAACGCCCCAACAGCAGCAGCTGGAAGCTCAATCACATCCACCACTTCTTCCCCAGCAAGACTACCCCCTGCACGGGGACGAATCACGCGTAGGATCCTCGCTGGACACCCAGAGCAAAACCCAACTCGGTTCATCATCCACCTCATCTGCCTTCCAGCGGATTCACACACCAACTCTCAGCGTCAAAACAAACCCGGTGGTCATCTTTCCCGGATCGTCGTCACCCTCCCTACCAACTCCAATCCCACTCCAACCCTCGCCAACCACCATCCATAGGCAGCCTCCCCCAGGATCCACGACCACCACCCAGCACCTGGCCGTACTCTACCATTCCCACCACCATCATCTGCACCCGATCCTGAACACCACCCGGAGACCGTCGCGACTCCCCGAACCAATCTACTACCACCACCAGCAGCAGCGGGAGGTTAAACCGTAAGTTCAAACTCGAAAAAAGCGATTTCATTTAATCCAATAATCTATTTTCTCACCCGCAGGGGTGAAGCACTGGCGACGACCCTGTCGGCGCTCTACGGGAAGCTGCTAGTTGTGATGGGGATTGCTTTCCCGATGGCCGAGGTTATCTCCACCTACATTCCGCCTTCGTTTTATGAGGTAAGAACACAGTGCGGGTGGGGTTGAGTGCTATCCCGACCATCGTTAGTGAGAATGATTTACACGGCTTTGTGCTTTGAGTGATGGGCAGAGATGTGAATGTGTGGTGGTAATAAGTGGTGACCTTGGGCAATTGAAGACTTCCTGACGCAGGGAAGGTTCGCTGTATGGGAGGCGTTTGCTGAATGGGCAATTTGTTTATGCTTTCATGCTGATGGGCTGATGATCATCTGAAGGGAAGTATTTTTGGAACTACTGATGAAAGCATTCAAGGAATAGTTCAAATTGACCAGATTTGTGTGTTTCATACTAAGTGTCAGTGAGCAGTCGTAAACAAACTAATTTGAACGATTATTCGTGGTTCAGACGGGCAGCTGAAGTTGCATACCATAATGGTTTTGAACTAATTATAGGTCATTCCATCTCAAGTGACAGAGCAATTGCATCGACTCTCTTTGATTTGAACCAACATTGGTGGGTTCACTCATTTTTATGATGATGATGATGATGATGATGATGATGATGATGATAATGATATGGAACTACCACTCACTGTAGCAAGACATCAGTATGCCAGTAGACTGTGAACTGTCCTCGCTGTTATACTTGATCAAGTTTAATAACCTTTAATTGCAACCTTTAAACGCTTTTGGTAATTTGTCCGGAAATGGATTACCTTCGTCCGTGTATCTCGATACACGCTCAGCTAGCTACAAGTGTGACTTGTTTACTGATCACTGCCCTCTCTGATCTACCGATTTCTCATTTGCATCCTGAAGCTGCCACCCGAATAGTTTCGACTTCAGAGTTTTCGAGATAACCGAGGAGCACGTACTAAATGCGATACGTAAACACAAACTGAAGAAATGCTCTATGGCTCTGTCGACACCGCTTGTGAAGTTGTTTAATACTTCATTGCAACGATCGATTTTCCCCTCCGGGTGGAAGTGTTCTGTTATTCACAAAAAAGGAGCCAACTCTCGCGGAATAACTTCGTTAAGTGCTTGCTCGAAAGTGTTTGAGATTGTCGTGAAGCAAGAACTACATCTCTACTGCCCAGCATGGATTCTTCCCTAAAACATCGGTGAGTACAATTCTCGCGCAATTCATTTCATTGTATATTCAAGCGATGGACGGTGGTTTGCAAGTAGATGCTATACACGGATTTCAAAACTGGTATCAACCGAGTGAATCTGCTTCGAAAACTTGAAAAACTCGGAGTATCGCCTGGGTTAGCTGGTTCAAATCGTAACTGTCAGATCGATCTATGAGAGTTAAGATTGGCTTATCTCACTCATCTACAAATACGGCTACGTCTGGAGTACCTCAAGAAAGTAACTTGGGTCCCTTGGGCTTTTCATAAATTATGTGGTATTCGTTCTACCATCCGGTGGTCGGGACTGTATCTACATGCAGACACTGTTGGATTCATTCGAGGATTGGAGCTGTTGAAATTCCCTTGAGCTGTGCGTAGCGAAGTGCAATACTATTTCCTTCAAAAGAAAGCGTCATGCGATCCACTCTCAGTATCTTCTTGCTGGCCACGTTCTAGAACGATTGAATCAGGTCAGACACCTCGGTGTGATTTTGAACTCTGAACTCAATTTCCAGGTACAATGATGTGTTTTCGAGCAGAAAACCTGGATTCCATTCTGGAGTCCGTTGTATTGGTTTGGTGTCCATTTTCAACTGTATGGTCGGATCGAACATAGACTCTGTGACATCTACCTTGGCGTGACCGTTCTAACTTGCCGCCATAAGAACATAGCTGTATTGCTGCTAGGTATCGAGAAACGTAGGTTTAACCAGCAAGCAGTTTCCGTCGATAAGGTCCTGACAAACGAAGTTGATGCTCCTGATATTCTTGCGCATATAAACGTCTATGTGCCTGAATACCTCCTTGGTCGACGTAATCTGCTGTATCTGGAGTCCCGCAGTAGTAGATACGGCCAACACGACCCGATACGGTTGTAGCTAGCCCGGAAGATCCAGCTTAAATACGCGTGGCTTAAGCGCCACTCCACAAGGGAGACCACACGACCAAGGTTAATTTGCCCGGATGAGACTCTCCTAAGGGCGAGTCCATTAATACCTAGAAAGGATTTACGGATCGTTCCAGACAGCTTCCAACGAAACGACCAAACCGGAATTCCCTATTTTAAATGAATTCACACTCAAGAAAGTCGTTCAGAGAAACGGTAGAGCTCACGCATACCCTAAAACTGTACGAGAGAGAACTTCTCATCATCGGTCAGTCTCGTCACCTGCCGCTAGACGTCTCCGTAATCTGGTAGTGCAATGTACTTTCAACCATTCAAACTCAACAAGAGGACGGGCAACGAAACTAACACGAACGCGGAGTGATGTCAAACACATTCAAATAATTAAAGCTAGGGAGATTTGGAACGGGAAAAAAACTTTTATTTAAAACATGAACGATGATGTTTATTTACATATGTACAAAATTCTGCAGACGTGTTTTGTTTGTCATATTGGTTCGCCACCTTCACCTTCTTAAACGCCGACAACCCGGCTCGTTTTTTTTAACCCGCTGCACAGTACTATGGGAGACATTGAGCTTGCCAGCGACGTCCTGGATGGAGAGGTTAGGATTCCGCTTATATTTCTCCGCCACCTTCATCGTCGTCGCTGCGACGTCCGGATTACGATTGCCACCGCTTTCAGGCTTCCTGGCGGTCGACAAACGCTCTCCGAATACTTTTAAAACTTTTGTCACGGTCGGTTTGGCCACATCCAGCAATTTTGCCAACTTGGCGTGTGAGAACGTCGGATTCTCTTGCTGCGTGAGCAAAATTTTGACACGCTGCTTCTCTTGCTAGGACGTCATTTTGAAAACTGGGGAGCAAACGGTGAAAACTCATCATAGCAACCATTGTATATACACTCAACTTCCAAATGATGCATTTCAGGTTTTTATGCATTTTTAACAGAAATTCATCAATTTGAAGTTGACCAATTTTTGCGCGTTCCAGACTTTATAATAATGAAATGAAAATAAAGGGAAAATTATAGCTTAGATTTCTTTATAAAAGACGAGATTAAAGAGACTTTCAGCCGTGGGCTAGTTCGTCTCTGAAAACCCCAGAAAGAGGTTTCCCTAGTTAGAGGCTGCTGTGGCTTGCTGCATGCTACAAAATGGTGAGTTGACAACCTGGAAGGAGCGGAATACCTAGCTCTGGTCCTCACAAGTTCCTACCTCACGCCTCCCCGAGTCATATGATAGCAAAAGACTACCAGCTGAAACATGGACACAGCTGGGTGGTGTAGCCTGAATAATGTTGCCAGTCCGGCAATAGCAAAGTGAAGAGGTGCGACGCGAACACTAACGCGGTAACCATAGTACGGTGATAGAGGAAATGCTTCCTCAAACTCGAGCGGCTGTTCTCCTTGTTAGGAGCGGTTGATCACAGTCTTAGTGCCAGCGTGGGAATCTAAATACAGCTGACATGATGCCCCCCCCCCCCGGCGAAACAGGGGGTTGGGACAGCCCAACAAGCCGCCCTAAAAAAATATAAAGTCGCAAATTCCGAAGAGAGAAAGACGGATCGGAACAATCGGCACAGACATACGGGACAAATAAAAGGACTACGATTGGAAACTCGGAACATGGAACTGCAAATCGCTCGGCTTCCGGGGCTGCGATAGGTTAATCTATGACGAACTTCAGCCACGCAACTTCGAAGTCGTAGCACTGCAGGAACTTTGCTGGACGGGACAAAAGGTATGGAAAAGCGGGCATCGAGCGGCTACTTTCTACCAGAGCGTGATTGGTTGGCAGCCGATCAACGCGAGGATGTGCAAGTTGAGGATTAAGGACCGTTTCTTCAACTACAGAGTACTACTGAGGTCAGAGGTAATCACGCTTACCACTACACCACCGGTGCCGCTAGTTCAGCGAATGTTGTCAAAGTTTAAAAACGCTATCAAACTTTGAAAAAAAAATGCAATCTTTAAATAAGTTTAGCGAATTTGGTAATGGTAATTGCCTTCTTGACAGTCAACGGTCACACTAGCTCCCTCGGCCATGTGTGTCCCGAAGAAGTAGCCAATTTTCGACAAGAATCAAAACCCGTCGTGCGATATATCAACCTTCATGATTTTTCAAAACTCGGTCGGTAATGACCTTATTGAAACCCCACAGTCATATTGACTTTCCAAGTATTGCTGCGGTGCCCTCGAGGATTTGACCAATTCTTAGATAGAACTAAAACCTGTCGTGCGACACATCAAGCTTCATAATTTTTCAGATCTCGGCCTGTAATGGTCTGGTAATTCCTGAGGGCAGTGGAACATGCTTGAGAGGGCCAAGATATTGGGACTGTTGACTGTCTAAGACCATTACTGGCCGTGCAAAATTATGAAGTTTGATATGTCGCATGACGGATTTTGGTTCTTGTCGAGAATTGAAACCCGGGGACACCAGAACATGCCCGGGAGGGCCAATGTGATCGTAATCTCTCTATAAGACCATTACCATAATAAAATTTTATATGACACACGGCGGGTTGTGATTCTGATCGGTAAATGCTGGGTAATGCGCAATACAGATCTCATTGAGATCACTAGCCTCTTCCCAGCAACTCCTATCCCTACCTCCCCGTGGTACCGGCTGGGAACTGTGAGCAACCTTAGGGAAGATCGGGTAACCAACCCCGGTGGGAACTTTGGTCATAGGCTGACAGGGAAGGGGGGCAAACCTGAGCGTCTGTTCTCCAGGAGGAGCGGCTCACAACATGATCTATGTCCGAGTGCCAGTGAAGGACTCTAAGCACAACTGTGCACCCTGGTCCTTTGGAAAGTTAGGGGGTTGGTGTCAGGTCCTGCGAGCCAGCCGTAAAAAAAAGCATTGCAACGGAAAATCAGCAACAGAGGAATACGAACCGAGACCAACGGCAACGACCCCAGCGACGAAATAGGATTTGCGATTGGAAACTCGGCACGTGGAACTGTCGATCTCTCAATTTCATCGGGAGCACCCG